GCTCACGGTAGTTCACGAAGTTGTCTGCACATCGGAACATGGAGCACGTGGCCGCTGTGTCGGCCACGTACCCCGCCTGGCCTTGGTCCACAACCCCCACTAGACCTACTTCACCAACGGTACCACACTCGCCTGGGGGGACTGCCACGGCACAAAACGCCTGGTCTTCCACGGAGTCCACGTCGCTCTCATGCCCTATCACTTGCGCTAGGACGGCCTCCTCCGTCGCGCACTTTTCTTTGGTGTGACCCCACCCCTCGCAGCGCGCACACCACGGCACGAAGTCCTTCTCGTTGGTAGTGCAGCCGATCGCTTGATGNCTCCTCCGTCGCGCACTTTTCTTTGGTGTGGCCCCACCCCTTGCAGCGCACACCACGGCACGAAGTCCTCCTCGTTGGTAGTGCAGCCGATCGCTTGATGTCCACGATGTCCACACCTAAAGCACCGGCCCGGGAACTTATAGTCCCCGCCACCGCCGCCATCGGCGCCTCCACTGCTGCTTCCCTTGCTCTCCTCGACTCCTCCGGATCCGCCTGAGCGGCCGCCGCGACCGCCGCCGCCGCCGCCGCGACCGCCTCCGCCGCGGCCACGACTGCTGCTGCGGCCACGGCCGCCGCCACGACCACGACCTTGCCCCTGACTCCTACTTGAGTACCGCTCCCTGCGGCCCTCACCGTCGGCGAAGTACGCTTGCTCTGCGCCCTTCGCCCCGCTTCCTTTCCCCTGCTCCAGCTTGTCCTTGATCGCCTTGTATTCGATCATTACTTCCTTTAGCACACCGGTCCGCGTCAACTCCTTCGCGTGTCGCAGGTTGTGCTTTGTCATGGCATACTCGTCCGAAAGGGCATCCAAGAAGAGGTGAAGGACGAACGTTTCGTTGACAGTTAGTCTTTTCTCGGTTAGTCTAAGGACTTTGCGGTTTGGAGCATCTCATGTAGGGCGTTTTGGGGGTTTTCACCTCAAGAGATCTTGGTCGACGTCAGGGACTTGAGGTCCTCTGACGGCTGTACAGATGATTCAGGGTCGTGTATGGTCTTGAGCTCACAAAGCGCTCCCTGGGGCGTCTCTGCCCTCTTCATGATTTTCCGATCTTTTTCTTTCAACGCGTGAGACAGGAAGTTCCACGCGTGGAATGCGAGCTCTACTTGCTCGCTCCGGTACTGCTGTGACAGCGAAAACTTGCTCTTTCCGCTGTTGACGGGGATCTCCAAGCTCCCGCTCTCTTCAAATTGTTCCAACAGGTTTGCGCCATTAGCTGCCATGCGGAAATCATTTAGCCATTCGTTGAAATCTTTCGATTTCCCGCTGAACGGAGGAGAAGTGTACCGCACACTTTGGTACCCCGTCGCTGGGGTTGTGGCTCCGTATCCAAAGCCAACAGCAGCAGCACCATCTCCCATGGCACGACTATAATCTTGGTTGTGAGCAGCGGCTACTCTCACCTCTTGGGGGACAAAGCCCCCTGCTTCGCCGCTGTGTCGCCCTGACGGGCCAGACTCTCGAACAGGTTCGCGCAGGTACTTCCCGTCCTGCGCACTCCCGGTCCACGGAGCCCCTCCTTCGGCGTTCGTGGACTCCGCGGCGGCGCTCTCCCTAGTATCGCCGCGATCAGCGGCACCCTCCATGGTGCCAGCTGGCTCCTCCTTCTTGCTTGCCTTCATGGTATCTTCCACTAGCGACATTAGCTGGCTCATCTCATCCATCAGCGAGCTAACTTGCGTCCTCAGGGTCACGAGCTCTTCTCTTGACCTCTTTCTGTCTTCCGTTGCAGAGTCGCTGGAGGAGTCACCCCAGTCTTTGCGACCTGACATTCCTAATGGACTCTCCCTCGAGGGACAGCCACTAGTGTATTCGTATATGTCCTTTACTTGGAAGGGGAAGACGTTTTATTTTTTGTATTAGACACGCAAGGGGAGTAGGGAGAAGTGAAGCCCTCTTTGGAGTTCGAGGGGTCCCCGCACATGCAACCATTTCAAGGTGTACATATGCCCCATCTGCGTGCCCTCTGTTGTTGCCGGTAGATCTAACCAGTCCGTATCCAAACACACGAACAGTTGGAACGGAACACTGCTGTGCATAGATAATTGGAAACTCCTATTAATGTTTCGCGGTGTCCGTCGATCATTTCGTTTGGTTCTGTTTGGGTGCGGTAGCTCGTCAGAGGCCGAAAGAGAAAAAAGGTTGACTCAAGACCTTGTTGCTTAGAGAGTAAGAGACACGCGGTAGGCCACACCATCGCCATGCAGCATGTCTGTCAATACATTCCATCCGCGTACCCCCCGGAGGCCCCGTAGACAGTATACTCTGCCGAGCACCCCAAACAGCCCCCCTGCTCGGTACGAGATACTATCTACGAAATCCCCGGCACGACTATCATTGCCAGACGAAACGGCAGACAGAAAAACCAAAACCCCTATGCTAACAATAAATCATCCACCATTCCAATCCAAACGACTCTGTCTGCCAATAGAACACGTCCCACGAAATCGCCGGATCTTCCAACAGAACACGTCCTGCAAAGCTTTCAAACCTTTTTGATGTCAAATTTCTACCCCTAAAAGGTCTGTCAAGAAAAACAAATCACCCTCTCGAGAAAAGTGCTCTACCCAATTCTCAAGCAGTCAAAACACGAACAATCACCCTTGGAAAATACCCGGCAAAAAGATCAACGTTCCATCAGAATCACGTCAGAACGGGGAGGACGGGTAACTCCGGGAAAACGTGTCTTACGTCCTGACTTCTCAGAACAAATTCATTCCTCAGATAAATATTCATGCTTCACCTCAATGGCCAGTTCAAACTACAAGAACATGCCAAACCCTCTCTCCGACATCCAA